TGGTGGGGGGGGGGGGGGGGTTGAGGACAGTTATCTACAAACATACTTCACAAGAAAGCATACAATAATATATCCAAAAAATACAAGTGGAAAAGTAAAAAAGTAGTATAAAATCACAAAAAGCGATATAAATAGCCTATTTGTATTAGGTTCCTTTAACCCATTTGTAATTCCCACATTTCACTGTAATGATGAGCAAGAAATGCAGAGCCAGGCTGACACTGAAAAACTGATCAACTCTGGTGAGCAAAGTTAAATCAGCTGGTTTGTTACGGCATGGCATGGTGCATGAAGAAGGCGACGATACGATTACAGCTCTTAGACAAAGGGGTTGATTAAGGGAACAGAACACACTAACCAAAAACTAAGAACAGGCAAGGGGACAGAACGTCCAAATGAACAAAGGCAGGTGCTTAAATACAAAAGACTAACAGGCTATGACTCAATTAACCAATCAGGAGTGGCTTTCCTGAAAGCTTTGTAACTGAAGTAGCTTGTTATCTTGTTCGTAGATGTACAAGTGCTCCGACCCACTCATTATTTTCTACATTGTTCTTTATTTTAACTTTTAGTTCAAATGTAAAAATTATTTTATTAAAATATATGATTTTTATATGATACATGATTTTGAACACCTCAATAAGTTGTTTTAAGGCAGCGGTGGCCAATCTTATGCACAAAGGGCCGGTGTGTATGCAGGTGTGTATGCAACTCGAACTTTTTAGGATTCGATCCGGAGTTCTGAACGGATTAAATTCGAGTTCTGAGGTACCACTGTACATGGAATCGATGTTCCTATCATGGACAGTCTGCGCTTTTCTCACGCACTACTACTTAGAGTTCCATCGTTAATTCTGAAATAATGAAGCGTTTCGGAAACGCATGTAGAGCTCACTCGTTCTTTACCTACGTCATTCTTTAGCTTGTTCGTTAGTTGTTAAGATCAATTGCTTTCGGGAAAGCCACCCCAGTACAGGCACATGACAGCAAGAAATAGGTGGAATACATTACAGTTAACAAACACAGGAAACTTTACCAAACACAGAGGCTCATACTAGGAAAAAACTTAAATACAAGCAGAGCAAAATAAAACAGGATACAAGCAGAGTAAAATATTAGCAACTGCAACAATACATTTCAAATTCAATTTTTATTGGTCACATACACAATCATACATAGTACGACATGCAGTGTATTTGCAGTGCCTGACCTACTAAGAATTAAATAGAATACAAATAATAATCCATCCATCATCCAACTGGATCATGGGGGGGGTCCAGAACCTATTGTGGAAGCAATGGGCACAAGGCAGGGAACAACCCATTGCAGGGCACACTCACACACCATTCACACCTATGGGCAATTTAGTAACTCCAATTAGCCGCAGAATGTTTTTGGACTGTGGGGGGGGAACTGGAGTACCCAGAGGAAACCCCACAATGACATGGGAAGAACATGCAAACTCCACACACATGTAATGCAGGCAGAGACTTGAACCCAGGTCCCAGAGGTGTGAGGCAACAGTGCTAACCACTGCACCACCATGTCACCCCTTAATAATAATAGTAGTAATAATAATAATAATAAAAAAATAAAAGATAAGAATGAAATGTAGTAAAATAAAACATATTATATATTATATATATATATATAATATATATTAAAATATATTATATATATATATAATAAAAATAAAATACAGAATATAAAGAGAGTTAAGAATGAAAAAATAGAAATAGAAATTAAAATATGTACAAATAGAATAAAATTTATCATCATCATTTTTGTATAGTAGTATTGTTTTGTAAGCAGCAGTATATCAGTATATCAGTATATCAGCTGTATAACCACTGGAAGTTGATCCATAAAATCTGAGATTTAAACAGCCCCGGTGGACCAAAGCTCATCAGTGCTGGTCAGCTTTTGGGAATTACTTCTCCGCATCTTAAATATGGATGAGCAGCAGAGATGCGGGGTCAGTAATCCTCTGTGATGCTGAACCTCTCGGACAGACATAATGAGAGCCCGCCCCCCTGGAAACTCAAGAGGCGTCATTCAGCGAAATGCAATTTATTTCTAATGGGAAAACTCTGGCCAGCGTATGTTTGCTTCGTTTTATCCTCTTTTCATCTCGTCCAGCAGCCCAAAAGAATTCCGGTCCACGCGTGACCCAGTGGGCAAAATGCTATTAAGAAAGCTTCAAAAACTCTTTTTAAAAACCAGTAATGATGGTCGAGATTAAAAAAAAAAGAGACTTCAACCTGACTAAAACCTAAACAGGCAGAGATTTCAACTTTCCATATCTTCACATTGACAAGTAAATCTACTGGGGATGAAAAATACCAAATCAGCTTAATGGTGCCCCCTGCAGGCGTGGACCAGTGCAGCGTCAGATTTTCTGTGTTATATTCAGTCTGTTTCGTAGGAAGCACACTGCAAGAGAAAGAGAAAGGAAAGAAGGAAGGAAGGGCTGAAGAGATACTTGGGTATTGTTCATAGGGGTATTGTTCACATGGATTCTACAACTAAACTGTTTTGTAAACTTCCTGCTTTGCTTCCAGAAATTTCTCTTTAGCCAGTCAGACACATAAGCCACCATAGTTCTGTGTCGTAAAAGCAAGTCAACTATTTACACATCAAGTTCCCTGTCCAGCCACATAAGTATAATGAACTTCACCTTTAGGGGCAGTGACCTGTGTACATTACAAATTCTGCATGGACAGCATTTTCAGCAGCGGCGTGGTCTGGCCGCGGGGTGACATCGCGGTCAAAAGGAGGTCTTTGGTGACCACTGCCATTTGGGCTGAGCAGCATAGACCTGTTCATAGAAAATATCTGGACTGTGAAACAGCTGTGTTTCTGTGCGTGTTGTCATCTGAAACTCTTCAGGTTCTGATTCTCTCAAACGGTTAATTTTAGCTTTCGCAGGTTGGAAGGTCTCCCGTAGTCTGACGTCACCTCCAGCGTCTCCGGCCCCACAAACCGTCGCCATGAAAAACGTGCAGAAGCGAGGTAAGCCGCAGAAGCGAGGTAAGCCGCAGCTGCTACACAATCCACAGCCCATAACCATCACCCCCACCCCCACAGTCCTCCCCGAATGGTATTTAAAACATTCCAGTGAGACCACTGGCCAGGAAAGAGCCAGGTGGGTAACTATCAATGCTCTAGGGTTCATCAGCACGTCAGCCAGCTACACCCCGGAGCAGCGGGTCATGTTCGCACGGCACACATCTTATGTTGTCTTTTTCATGGAACGAGGAATACCAGCATCCATTAAATCAGTATACCAATTTTTACTACCAAATACTACAACCATATTATTTACCATTCTTGTTGAAACATACCAAAGTTTATAGTGTATTGATATTTTACATCTTTACATTTGTAGGCCAAGGGTGGACTGGTAGCTCGGAGGCAAAGGTTCTACACTATTAATCAGAAGATCACGGGTTGAAATGAAATAAGTGATCCTCCTCCACTGGACCCTTGAGTAAGGACCTTAACCTGCAATTGCTTTGGCTTGGGTATGACGTTAATCTACATCCAGCCTTATAAGGAGGTCCTCCGACTTACAGGGAAAAACTTGGGGCCTGGTGGCAGGATTGACACTCCAATCACTGGAAGAAAACCTCATACTGGTCCATTTGGACTAGTGTGGTGCTGAGGTGTCGCCTGCCACACGGCTGCACTCAGGTTCTCATCCCTGAGGTGGTTTGTCGTGTGGTGGGTGCGGCAACACATGAGCACATGCTCCTTATATCTGTGTTTGTATGCACACTGCATTTATTGACTACTCCAGTGCCTCATTTTTACTTACTGTATTGCCTGCTGTAACATCGCATTTCCCCTTAAGGGATTGATAATTTACTGACCTACTTATCTACGTACATTTATTTGTTTTGCAGATGAGATAAATACACAAATTCCGCAACATACTCACTCGAATTACCCACTTTTTCCCATGGACAAAAACTCACTGTAGATCAACAACCAAATTCTGCATAAGAAATATTTGAAAGTTGCAACAAACTGTGTATGTGTGTGTGTATGTTTACACACGCACACACATATGCATAAACACACACAGCTCTGGAAAATATTAAGAGATCACTCTATTTTTAAAAAATCTGCATTTTCAAATCCTGGTTTAATCCTGGTTCTGCTGGCAGAAGGCTACACTGAGCAGCAGGTTGCTTCCTTATTCAGTTTCTAAGACAGCAGTACACAAGAATAAGGTGAAGCAGGAGACACTGGCAATGACCAAAAACCAGCCAGGTAGAGGGTGGAAGCGATGTTCTAATGCCAGAGATGACTGTTAACTCATCTGGAATTTTCTCAAGAATCGTGTAGGTGTGACGTGCAGGTGTGAAGTGCACTGCTAAGACAGTGTGTATCAGGCTCCTAGAAGCAGGACTGAAGTTCCATAAAGCAAGGAAGAAGCCCTTCATCAGTGAGAAGCAGGGAAGAGCTAGACTGGGGTTTGCAAAAAATATATATTATTCACAGACACACACCCATAAATTGAGAAATGAGTGAAACTAAAAATGTTGCTGTGCTCTCAATATTTTCCCAGAGCTGTATTTATATATATTTTTGTAGCCACCCCCCCTTGTTTGGGAGATTTTATCAGACGCAGTCCTGTACATGGTCAGCAAAATTTATCTGCAAATATTATCATGGAGAAGTTTAATCATATCGATAAGAACCATTGGTACAGGTGATGATCAATTTGAAATAAATCACACCAAAAGAATCCGAATCAGAATCCGAATCAGAATCAGAATCCTCTTTATTAGCCAAGTATGTTTCCATACAAGGAATTTTCCTTTGTGGTGCTTTTATCCGGCATTTGAAAAAAGTGAAGCAGTGTGACTCAGTGGTGACAAAACAAAGGACAGCCACAGACCCGAAGCTGGTGAATATGATGATATAGAGACACGTCACACAAAGTTATGCTTTTGATAAAACTTTTTTGGAAAGGTGGGGAGTGGGAGGAGTATGGATTATATGGGGAAATACATTGTTGTTGTTCTGAAGGCATCATTTTTTTAATGTTCCTGTGAAAAAAAGACAAAATATAAATTAAAAATATGTTTTGTATAAATGATGTTAGATACATAATCTATTTGCATAACATGTTAAAAAGCATATATATAAAATCTGTGATATGCATTAGATTCTGACTCAAACTCAAATTTTAGTGGGTGAATCTGCATTTTTTCCAAAACTGTACCAAACCTTATTAATTTGAGATATAAAATAGGAATTCAGAGAAATTTCTCATAATATTAGGATGTTTAGAATGCATTTCTCTGACTCACTGACAGGTTTTTGTTGGCCGCTCACCATTTTATCGTCCTGCTCAGCAGACTGAGCTTGTCCTGGGTTGGCTGTTGATAGAAGCAAAGATTGTGTTAGAAATGAAAGAGCAAGAATTTGATGTGAAAGATCAAGAAAACATTAATTCCCAAGTCACTGGTCAGTGAAACGTGAACAATGAAGCATATGGGAATCGGCCTTTATCTTAATAGAGAATGAGAGGAAGTGAGTGGTTGATATTCAGATATTTACAATTACTGGATATTTTTTATACATCAGTGATGTGACCAGTGGAAAGGAGTACCGTGTGTGAAAATGTATTCAAAATTTAAATGTTTACATCATGACTGTTTTACAGTTTTTCTCGATTGCTTTGACACATAATTTCTCATAATTTGCCCACAAATTGAAAATGTTTTAGTACATCAATGCAAATTGTCCTCATTTCACACAAGTATCAGTTGCTCGATGCAGTTTTTCTCAGATGCTTAAATGTGCTGATCAAGCCAACAGTGTATGTAGGCGATTCTAAACACCATATAAGCAAAACCACAAATATTTCTGCACAACAATTAACAATATTCTCTTGGGATATACAGCAGTCTCCAATGCAATAGACCTTTAGCAAAACACTAGATACAGTGTGTTATGGGTAAAAGGGATGGGACTCCACGCTGGAGATACAGAGAACAGTTCATCCTCCCATGGGACACTGCAGCTGTGCAAAAACAATAGTGCAAAGATATACTGCTGTCAACGAAGATTCTAAATTTGATTATGTAATTGAATTAAAAAAGAAATCAGACATTTGATTGTGAAAAGTTATATTCAATGGTAAAAATGCGGCTGTCTGCCGCGCATGTTCTCTTTTCTCTTCACAGTCCACAAGTTTTACAGGATATAAAAAATGAAAACCGGCACCCCAGCAAAATATTTACTTTCCACACCATGCTTTAATTGATGATGTGTATGATAGATCAAACCTGAGTTAAACCTATTTGGGAGTCGAAATGTTAAGTTGATCCTTCCAAATTAGTACTGTGCAAATCATTGTCTGTTTTTTACGAAAAATAGCCTATTTTGGTAATTAAAGAAACAAAACCCTTATTTCACTTTAATAACGCTGATCTTCTTGGTTATTAACTACAGATTGACATTTCTCGTCACCAGATATGACGCAGAATTCACAGAAGTTGAATTCAAAATAATCCTCCAATCTGCAAGAACTAGAAAACTGGACTGGCATTCAAAACACGTAACCTACACTGAATATGAATGTCCAGTGTTCCAACAGATTTTGGGATCCGTGGTAGAGTCTTAGCAGCTATCTTTAGTAAATTTACTGAACTAAACAGTCACTGCTACACAGGAACAGTCCTCCTGTCAGCCTTTGTCACATCTCCATGAGATGTGACAAATGTATTAATGTATATGTATTAAGGGCCACAGCCATTTCTTGGATAGACAGGTATGCACCTCTGGCAGATTGCTGGGGTGTGTTGCACCATAATACAGGCACATGGTAATGAGGTTCTTTTATAACGTTCCATGTCTGATTTCCAGAAAAAAGAGAGTTGGTCCTCTGGGTTTTGTCAGTAACAGTGAGTGAATGGGAAACAACAATCATTCAGAATTATAGAACATTTTAACAATATATCTGAACATTTTGACTCTCTGCAAAATGATGATCAATGTACTTTTCATTTTGGTGGCACTGACTAATTCACTGATCATCACCGAGCGATTTGCTTGGGAGACACGGGGCTATTGTGTTGAGTGACTTTTGCCTTTTTCAGCTTAACCACACTATTTTGCTGTATTTCGCTCTCGCACTCGCATCCTTGGTTAAATTCTGACAGATAGCCGACAATAAAGCAGCACGCACACGTTTCCCCTTCTTTGGTTTTAATCGTAAAACTGGGGAAACCACAACACAAAAATACATGAGGGTGCACTGAATTTCAGAGACGAGTCACACGTTCCATCCAAATATATCCATCCACCCAAATGCACCTTATCGATTCAGAACAAGTAGAAAAAGAATTTTTACTAGAAACCCTTAAATCTTAAGATCCTGTATGGATTTGGAGAAATGCACTAATAGTCATGTTATGTATAAAATATGTTCATGAAACATGAACGTGAAAAAGCAATCGAGAAACTGCAATTCAGTAAATGACTACACACTTCGTATAAAAGCATAATTCAGAAAATAATGCACACTGCTCTTGCTTTTTGGGAACTAATTAATTAAATTAATTAGAACTTTACCATCAGCAGGCTTCTTGTCTTCTTTTGTGGTAACAGTGCAGGTCACAGAGCCTTTGACTATTGAGTGAATAATTTGTGGAGCGACAACTGTAGCGTGATTAGAAGCCGTGATACTTGGCTTGAATGCACCTTCAGGTGCAGCTGTGGAGACATAAACATGGGGAGTTAATTCACTTTGTGTTTTTCGCTGGTCGGGGCCGGTCCATGCTATAGGAGGCATAGGCAGCCACCTAGGGCGACTACTACTGAGGGGGCCGCTGACAGACAGACAGACTGACAAACAGAAAGTTAGACAGAGAGACAGACAGACAGACAGACAGACAGACAGATAGATAGAGAGACAGACAGACAGACAGATAGATAGATGAAGTCATGACAAAAAAGGGTTTTCAACAGTACCTTTCATGTAAGGTTTTTGTTCAGTGTCTTAGGAAAAGTACATTGCTTGAGAAAGAGATAAACAGACAGACAGACAGACAGGAAGAAAGAAAGAAAGAAAGAAAGTATCGTTCATATGGTTGTTCAGTTACTATATCACTGTATGTATAGACTCTGTAGCTAAATGCTTTTGTTGGAAGTCTCACTAAAATTTCTCCTCTGGTACCAAAAATTGAATTTGTCTACATACGCGCAAGACCTCACTATAGTTTTGTTCACTAAAAGAAAGTCAACCAATTACACATCGCATTTCTCACATCTGGACTGTGACGCATAAAAAGGATATAGACAGAGGAGTAACCGTTAGCACTCCTGGGTTTTCCTTGCTTTAAGTCACCTGTGCCCTGGACTGGTAGGTTTTTTGTTTCTGGTAACAGTGAATCCCAGCACCCAAAAATGTCCTGCATGTCCCGTTCCTGGACTCCACATGCTAACTGACATTGTACACTCACTTTTACTAACAAATAATACTACCATAGTATTTGCAATCCTTAACATATCAAAGTCTATGGCGGTTTAATGGTTTATATCTTCTCTTCCGATAGTTTTACATGCCCTATATTTATTGATCACCATTTCCTAATTTTTACTTACTGTAGGCCTACTGACTGCTGTAACATCACATTTCCTCTTAAGGGATTTGTTCTGTACTACAGACCAACTTATCTACAGGCCTCATTTATTTACTTTATTCTGCAGATGAGATAAACACACAAAGCCCGCACGATACTCACTCAAGTTATTCAGTTTGTCCAAAGTCTTAAAACTCATTGTTGGTCAACAGTCCTGTGTAAGAAACATTTGACAGTTACAACAAAATTCTGTTTTTTTTTAACATCAAACATGATTGTATCATAATTAGTGTTGAGTATTACCCAGCCTTGGACTATAGGAACCATATCAAGAGATAATACAGCAATACACAAACCAGTTTGCAAGACATAAAAAAGTAAAAATGGTATGTAATAATTAATTCTTTATTATTTGGAAATATTCAGAATTACCATGCTACCAAATTTGTAATAAAACAAACTGATTGTCTTTCTTCTTCAGTGTATTAATTCAGAAATGTCACTTATCAGCAGTTTATGATAGCATTAGCATACTACTCATGTCCTTAATATGATTAAAGTTCTTCTTAAAAACACTAATCTGTCAACATATACTGAGTCAAGCCAGGATCTGCTGGCAGTAACTGTATCACCAGCAGTAGAAGGAATTCTTTCAAGATGAAACTGATGTGGCCTGAACACACAGGTAAAGTTTGTACAACCTTGTCAATAATGGGTATTTGTCTGCATTATTTTTCCAAAATATCAATGGGTACTCCTCATGCCTCCGTTGTTGTTTTGCTTTGTATAAAGGTATTTCCTTCCTGGACCTCTCTTCTAATTACAAAGGTGCTTCAACTTTTGAAATTTCAATATCGTCCTCGTCAAAAAAGCCCAACACTAATTCTCTTTGCTGGGGGGAAGTAAGATGTGATAGAAGTACTTGGGATGTCTGGCATTTGTGGTATAGGGGATTCACATGGTTGTTCTGCAAGCTTCTCCTTCACTGTAACTGGGCCTTTTGAGACAAGTTTACTTGTAAACCTTTGCTACACTTCATTAGACACATCGTGCTTGAGTCTCAGATTGAGAGCAGAGGGTTTCTCATTATAGTGTGTCTCTATGTCGTCACACACAACTTTGCTCATTTTACAGTTAAGAGTGCTATCACATTCCTTGGAGGGGGGGGGGGGCATAGTATGTTTTTAATTTCTAAAGTAGCCAAACAAGGCCCACTGTATGCTTTTGGTCAGGAGACATTGGTAAGGTAGTATGTTATAAAGGCTGGATAAGCGTCAGAAATGCCTCTTGAAGAGTTGCTGTTTCAAACAATCCATATTCAGAATTCAGGAAACTACCTGCTCTGAAAAAAAATAGCTCTGAAACTACAGAGCTTGCTGTAACAACAGTTGCTGAAAAATAGGACAGTGGTGGTAAAAATTCTATCTGCGGTACATAATTATAAACAGGCATCCGAATAATAGGTCTATGTTTTGAAGTTTTATTACTGATCACAGATTTCTCATATAGCAATCCAGATCAAACTACAGGGGTGCCTGCCGTTCACGAACACAATCCGTTCCCGGAAGGTGGTCAAGAACCAAAAGAACCAATTTGTATGCGAACCAAGACAATTTTTCCTGCAAGAAAGCATTGGAATTCGTTTAATTCGTTCACAAGTCTACCAGATAATATTTGTTAATTAATTTCCTGGTTTTTATAGTGAAAACTTTAAAGAAAAACACAATTTAGTGCGGAAACGGGCGGGCCGAGGTATCGCGGGAGCAGAGAGATATATGGAGACTTGATTGCCGGAGAAATCACGCTGTTTATTAACAGTCCGTAAAGGAACTACAACATGCACCCAACGAGCACCGAACCCAAATATATAGACGGGCAACACAATTGTTGTCAGACGCCGAACTGCAAGATGCACACACGGTGGAAGATTTACATACTCGCTAAATACACGCGAGGATCGGACTGGGTATACACAAGACACGGGCAGACACACGCGCGACAATAGGGAAACGCAACCATTAACATTAACAATAGCAACAATACAACAAGGGCTATTTATTTACAGTTGCACGCGAGGAATGATGGAACATGCGCCCCGCCGGTGCTACTAACTCACATGATAAGAAACGCTTTTAAAGAATATAATTATATACTTCTTTTTTAATAAACATGTTTACAATAAGATGCTAAAATTTCCTATCAGTCTTCAAAAAAAGAAATTGAACAAACATTTTGAGGAAGGCGACGTATTGGACTGACGTATGATGGACTATAAATGTTCAAATAACACTCATAATTGTATATAAAATTAAATGTGTGAGTATCCAACATCAAAAGTACAAACTCCAAACAGTGTAAAATGTGTCTTACCAATACAATAGAATGTTTTCTTCAAGAAAAAAACAATTCTAATTGCACTAGTGACTAGTCTGTACTTGTTAAAACTGGTCTGTTTGTTCTTAGCCCTTTTCCACTTCCTGTTCTTTTGCTTTGTTTTCCTGCCTGCAGTCTGCCTTCAAGTTTGAAACACGACTTACCAGTACAGCAGAGCACACTCTTCAGAAAGAAGAAAAACAACTGTGTGCACTAAACGTGACTGTTAACCAAAATTGTTCCGCCCTTTCTCTTTTGTCGTGGTTTGAATCTTGCTTACGTTTGCTTACGTTTGCTTACGTTTGCTTACGTTTGCACGCCCCACCACTTAGCTCACCTTCCATCTCCTGTAAAAAGCTACATGTAAAAATGAACAACAGCTTTGCTTATCTAGCCAGAGCTGGGTTACTGAGACCAGGCCAGGATCAGTGGAAAATTGCTTGGGGGAGACATCCTGTGGGACCCTCCCACATAATGAAAGATGGGTGTGTGGTGTCACTGGGGAGGCAGGCATGAGCTGGAAGGACCTCGGCGGATCAGACCTTGGCAACGGACATTGGCTGTGGTGAACATGGCCGGAACCTCTCTGCCGGAAGGGAATCTGGGGTCCTTCAAGATATCAGAAGTCATGAGCTAGAGAGAGTCAGCCATTTATCCAGCTCTGGAGCCAGGCCTCAAGATTGGGAGTAGAATCTCTCCTACACTGGAATTCCTCCTGATTTGACCAGTATGTGGGTTCCCAGAAGTCCCAGGCTCAGGACTGGGCGGTTGGCATGTTTTCGTGGGGACCTGGCTCCTATTGTGGCTAGTCGAGAGATGTGTGTTCATGTGCATCCAGCTACCCTTAATAAAGTTCAGTAAAAGATTTGCAAACACTGAATGTGTTGGACATTCCTTTACTCTGAGGTGCATCAAATAGGCTATAAAAAACCATTTCAAACACACATAAGGTGCTTAAACCAGTAAAACAGTATCAGGATATGCTGTATAACTAATATTCACATCCAACTTCTGTCATATTCATATTTGTTAAAGTTAATGTCCTCGCCTATCCATTCTGTAAGGAACTTCAGTTCCCATGGGTACTTGCAGCACGACAAGATGGCTGCCACACCCCCACACACACAAACCCCAGAAGCGGCAAAGATACGGCTGCCTCAAGTTAACGGGCTCATTAAGGACTTTATTTGTTCATTGTGAAGCAATAGTCTAGTCTTGCTTTATGTGTCTGCATTGCTAATTGCTAGTTTCAGTATTAGCTGTATTGGTTTATGTCTCTGTTTATTTTTTGTGTTTCTGCTATTTTGGATTCTGTGCCCATACTCTGATTCTGTTTTAGATGACTGTTCTTTGATTGAGTTATTTTGATTAATGTTTTTCTGAATCCTGCACCTGCATTTGCTTCTTCTCCTTTGCTCCACCGGCGTGTGACACTGCTGTGTTAATCGCTACAGGTTAATTTATCATAGTGTTCAGATGGCAGCCAGATTTGCAGGCCGCAAAAAAAATCAAGAGGGCCCCATCCAGCCCACGGGCAGCCAGTTGAATAGGCCTGAGCTATAATGACAGTCGAGATAAAAATGACTTCAGGCTGACCCAAACTTAAACAGGCAGAGATTTTCAACTTCCCAGGTCTTCACATGGAAGAGTAAAATCACTGGGATGAAAAATGTGAAATCAGCTTAATGGCGCCCCCTGCAGGTGTGGATTGGTGCAACATAAGATTTTCTGTGCAGGAGGGGGATGCTTACACACAAGAAGCAAAGGCCCATCACCCTGTCCCTGGTACAGCTCCCACGCATAAGTTGCACCCACGATGTCACACTTCCATGGGACTGAACCAGCGCTCCTCCTCGGGCACCATCCAGACACACAGGGAGGAAAATTATATACTATAATAACTAAAACTCATAAATACTATTTCTGTTATCCTGTTTTTTCATAGGTTCCGCCATGCTTTGGTGATTAATTGCTTCTGTAACTGCTTTAGGAGGAGAGAGCAGCTGAAGGTTGGAAAATGGATGGATAGATTTAATTTTGAGTATTATGACGTTCCATATTCCGTATGTGTTTGTACATGTATAAAACGTCTGAAAATCTATTTGCAAACCGTGTGAAAGACGAAAGAGGGCGCTAATGCAACTAATCTGTATGCTAAATACGGTATGGCCGGAGGCGCCTGCGCTTTCCCTCCAAAACAGAAGGGGTCGCTGTCAGGACGGGATGCTCCTGTTTTCTCGCTGTTGGGGTTGACGCTTATGGCGGAACGCCGGCTGTGAAACATAGAGGAGCAGGCGCTGGAACCGGGTAGATCTGCCGGCTGTGTGAACTCCGATCGAAGGCTTTGGCGCAGTGCATTTTCGAGAGGCCAGCGGCTTTAGTGGGGCCGCGGTTCTGGTCACAAGTCACTGGAACCGTGCGTTTAGGTAGCCCCTTAGGTAGCTAACTAGCTTAGCCATTTTCTTTATTGCTATTGATCCGGCCACCAGCGGGATTATTGAAAGCTACAGAAATGTCAGACAACAACACCGGAGGTAACTCGCTTCTTTCGGTTTTTTGTCGAATATTCAACCTGGCTCCAGTGCGACGGGGTGCCGTCGGGTGTTCGCTTTGCCCGGCGAGCACCTGTTAAAATGCCCGTCTCGGGTGGGCTCCCCCTGCCACTTCCATGCTTATTTAAATGCTACATTACGCAGCGCTGGTTTCGGCGGCTGTACAAGCGTCCTGGCTGGCAGTGGGGCTGTGTGGCCAAGCCCAGCCTCTTCACTCTCAGACTGCCGTCGGATCCGTTGGGTACCATAAGTGGCGAGTCAGGTTAGACAGTGTTGGGAGTCACGGTGTTTTGAAACAGCTTTTCCATATGGGAAATATTGGGAGTCTGTGAGCTTGTAAGGAACGTAATTGGTGGTTATACAATCATTCAGTGGCGTAGGAAAGGAGTTTTTATTTACCCTTCAGCTGATGCCCATGACGTAGAGCTGTTCAGCACCAGATCACCGTAGCTGTGCATCTGGGGATGAATTAGGGGATACAGGTCTTGGTTTGTATTTTTTTGTGCGCCAGCTGTAGATTACCCATTCAGGTTAAACTGTAAAACTGCCTTTTCAATACTGTTTTCTTCGATAGATCAGCCAGCAGAGATGAAGCAGGACAATTCCTCATCAGCGATCACAGACCAAGAAAAGGAACTGGCAGTGAGCGCTTTCCAAGCATTTACGGTAATCTCCAATCCTCCCCAAAAGTTTACATGTCTTCTGTGTTTTAACCATGGTATTTACTTCTGTGTTTTTACGCACACCTACATAGTGTCAATCTGTACGGATCTTTTCACCAGGCAGGAAATTATGACGAGTCGCTGAAACACCTCGGAAACCTGCAAGAACTAAACAAAGAGGACTACAAAATTTCAATGAACAAATCCATTGCCGAGTTTTACAAAAGCGGGCAGACCACGACAGACACCTTGAAACAGGCCCTCACGGCGATGAAACACCAGGTAGCCGTTCTGGGAATATTCTGGATCGTGGCCTGATTTGCTCTGCGTGGCGGTGACCTCGCTGACACCCAAGGTATTTGTGTCTTTGCCACAGGTCCACGCTGCCGTCGATGAGATGGATGGTCTGGATGACGTGGATAACAGCATTCTCTACTACAACCAGGCGATCGTACTGTATCACACGCGACAGTATATAGAGGCAATATCCATAGGAGAGAAGCTCTACCAGTTCATAGAGCCTTTTGGTACGTGACCCTCATATTTCACGTGAAAACTGTCTGCTTCGAAGCTCAGGCTCGCATTTGCATCTGCTTGGAGCTTTGATGTTTGGGCCGAGCCACAGTTTGGCATGGCTTAAGGTTCTTCTCTGTCCTAGATGAGAAGTTTGCCCAAGCTGTCTGCTTCCTGCTGGTGGACCTGTATCTTCTCACGTTCCAGCCTGAAAAGGCTCTCCATCTCTTAGCGATGCTGGAGAAACTGTCCGTTCAGGGAAACAACAAAAACGGCAAATCTGAGGTTCTTTTTTTTATTATAATTTATATTCCTACGAGCTGCAGATGAGATGCTGAACGTTTGCTTCAACAATAACATTGGTTTGACTGTATGTGTACGCGCACGTGTGTGAAGAGGCCCTGAAGCAACAGTAGGGTCCAGTGTTCATTCTTTTTTTGCCTGTAAACCTTGTTGGTACATAACCTTACATATTACATTCCTGGGCAAAAAAACGGGCAAACCCAAACTTGCAAGATATTAAACTTTTGACAGTCTTACCAACAAATCATCAGTCAGATAATTAGCAAGTATATAAGAATGCAATCCTGAGACCTGGGCTTCTGTTTGCTCATCACAGCTCGCTGATATACTGTCTTGTGTTATTGATGCAGTTCAGTCATGTTTATTTTCTGTGCGTTATTGCAAGGGGTGAGTTTAATTTTGTATTGATAGCTTTTCTGTGGTTAGGGCTGGAGCTCACAGCGTGACAAGGCATCCATTATTTGTCCAGGTGATGTTCCACGTAAAGTTCTGTTTCTGCGTAAGCGCAGATGCTGCCTTCGGAGGGGCCAGGTGGGATTGAGGATAAGGCAGGGGGCTGACAAGACAGACAGGTCCAGCAGCGTTAGCACAAATACACCGGATCAGGAGCTGCCTTTAGCTGCTGTGTGTGGCCAGTGTGTGTCAGTAGCTGCCTGCACCTGTGGGCATGGGGGTACCCACAGACCCCCAGGAATGAGGCCAAAGTCAAATATAGACTGTCAGACACCTCTGGTATTTATCTCTATTCCTTGCTTTTTTCTGTGCTGCTGCTTTATGATGAGTGACGACCACAGATCTTAAAAAGTTGGCTGGTGAATGTAAAATGTTTCATTTGTGTTTGAACAGGCTGGCAGCAACTCAAATAAAGACGGTGGCAGTCAGAAGACAGAGTACATCGCTATGGTAGAGGCAGCCAAGTCTAAAATTCACCAGGTAAATGCCGTGGCTTATAATCAATGATCAGTTCAGTGAAATGCTCTGTGACACAGCATGACCCTGACGAGCCCCCTTCTGTGACTCTGACGAGGCCTGACACATGACTCCGATGCATCCCACCATCTGACTCTGACGAGCCCCACTCTGACTCGTCGCACGCTGCTCTGTGACTCGACCCGTGACTCCGATGCACCCCACTCTGTGACTCGCCGTGTGACTCTCACGGATGTTGTCTCCGCAGTATAAAGTACGGGCCTACATTCAAATGAAGTCTCTGAAGGCGTGCAAACGGGAGATCAAGTCGGTGATGAACACGGCTGGAAACGTGAGCACACTTCTGCTCCTTCACCTCCCACCTCACTGGCCCTCCCTCCGCGTTTCCCTGACCGGCTCCTTGTTCCCTGTCTCTCCTGCTTCCAGTCTGCCCCCTCTCTCTTCCTCAAGAGCAACTTCGAGTACCTGAGGGGAAATTACCGGAAGGCTGTGAAGCTCTTAAATAGCTCCAACATCACCGAGCATCCGGGACCAATGAAGACGGGTAACGGCCAGCTCCACCCGGCCACCGGCACCGAGTTCGGTCGCGGCAGGAACCGGGAGTTCCGCGCTGACTGAACACCTCTGTTCTCTGTTGTAGGTGAATGTGTACGCTGTATGTTTTGGAACAATCTTGGCTGCATTCATTTCGCGATGGGCAAACACAACCTGGGCATTTTTTACTTCAAGAAGGCCCTGCAGGAAAACGACAACATGTGCTTACAGATCGGCAGTCGTGACGGCACCAACGGGCAGAGTAGGTATTTATTGGTCAATCGAGGCTGGCGGTGTGGCCCCGCCCCTGGCATTCACGCAGTGTGTGGCTCTCGGTTGCAGATAAGAGGTTCTCCGGAGTTCCCATGTGTGCCCTGTTAGCCAACAAGCGCTACGAGCTTCTGTACAACTGCGGGATTCAGCTACTGCACATAGGGCGCCCCCTAGCGGCGTTTGAGTGCCTCATGGAATCGGTGCAGATTTACCACTCAAACCCTCGACTGTGGCTCCGACTTGCAGAGTGCTGCATTGCGGCAAACAAGGGGGTAAGTTGGTTACACTCAGGTGTATGTCCAGTTATTTAACTAGTCAGATACGGCTAATATACTTAAATGCATGTCGACGGCCATGTCTGCTTTTGTTGGGGCTGAAGTGATTAATGAAAAACAGCCAGCGTTTAGCGTTTTATTGAGTTTAGCGTTTGTTTTTTACTGTCAAAGTTCATATTTGGCATATAAAATTTTCCTACAGGGGGCGACACAGTGGTGCAGTGGTTAGCACTGTCACCTCACACCTCTGGGACGTGGGTTCGAGTCTCCACCAAAGTCCCATGTGTGTGGGAGTTTGCATGTTCTCCCCGTGTCGGTGTTGGGGTTTCCCCCCCACAGTCCAAAAACATGCTGAGGTTAATTGGAGTTACTAAGTTGCCTGAAGGTGTGCATGTGTGAGTGTGCCCTGCGATGGGTTGGCGCCCCATCCTGGGTTGTTCCCTGCCTTACTCCTGTAGCCTCTGGACCCCCTGTAACCCTGAATAGCATAAGCTCTTTCAAAAAATGGATGAATGGATGGATGAATGGAATTTTCCTACAAGATGCAATATGCTGCAGGAAGTGTTGGGGGCACTGTTGCTTTGCACAGTTTGAGTCGATGCACACAGACAGAACTTGACGCAAGAGTCCTCACACCTGAGTTTGAACAGCTGACCTAAAGGTCACCCCTAAAACCTGCATCCACACCGGCCCTTTGCAGATAAGTTCACCCAACCCTGTCTAGGCAGTAGTGTATAGCTGGAGGTGTCATTCTTGCGTAGTAACTTTGAGATAGATGCTTTTACTATGTTCCAGTGATGGGCCTAGTTACCACCCTGATTCGGCTCCTGTTCCACACCCCCATATGAGCTCAGATATCTGAAAGTGTCAAAAGTCACTAGATTTCAAATATGCTCCTAAGTTGAGTCATTTAGTAGGTTGTAGTTTGCCGTAACATTTCAGAATGACTCAGTGAGTGACTCTTCCCAGCTGAAGGCTGTGGGTCTTATTTACTTATGTTCTCTGACAGAACTCCGATCAGGAGACCAAGGGGCTTCCCAGCAAGAAGGGCATTGTCCAGTCAGTCGTAGGCCAAGGATACCATCGCAAGATCATCCTGGCATCACAGTCTGGCCAGAATACGGTCTACAGGTCTGTGCAGGAGTTCTCACTGTGCTTCATGCAACCTCCTCTCAATCTGCCAGCTTTGATAAACCTTTACTTTATGGGTATTGAAGCCTTTGTTCCTTGCCATAAAATGTTGTAGCTCTGTGGTCTGTAGAAGTAGCAATTGTCCACCACCAGGGGGACTCATTGTGTAAGATTTTTTTTTTCCACCTCTGACCCCGTGGTGCAGGTCTTTCATCTTGTAATTGCTCTGCTGGATGTTTGATGTTGATGCTGTTTGCACCTTATTTTCCCCTCGGGGATTAATAAAGTTCCTGTCAGGCTGTGTGTGGCCGGTACAGTGGGAAGGGGTGTTTGTGTGTGTGTGTGTGTGTGTGTGTGTGAGAAGCAGGCTGGTTTAACCCTGTGCGTTTCACGCCCTGTCCTCCGCAGCGACGGCCAAACTGCAGCCATTCCCGTGGCCAGTATGGAGTTTGCCGCCATCTGCCTGAGGAATGCTCTCCTCCTCCTGCCCGAGCACCAGCAGCCGGATGGCAAGGCGGAGAACGGCTCAAAGAGCTCCAGCCAGTCCGGCAGCATGGAAAGCGGCAGCGAGAACAGCGACATGTGCAGGTGACCGCCTGCGGGGGGCGCTGCTCGGGGCGCTGACACCGTCCCAGTCTTTTCAGAAGTATGAAGAGTTTCAGGGTCCCTCATCTTTAGTTTCACCTTCTGGCTGCACACAGCTAAGTTTGTCTATTTGCATATTTTTGTCTTTTTTGTTCAATAACTTCTTTATGTTTTAGTAGTAAAGGCCAAGAAGGAGACAAGTTTGTCCCAGCGCCTCCATCTTCTCCTCTAAAGAAGCAGGAATTGGAGAACTTGAGGTGAGCTTCCGGATCTTCATGTGCTCCTCCGGGCCGCTCGCGGTCACTCTGGCGTATGGCCCTGTGCCGTGGGGGTGTCTGCCCACCTTCCTCATCTCCTTCCAGTGGAGGCACAGCTGCAGAAAGGCTTCAGCTCCACCCAGGTGGGGGGCCTGGAGCGCCTAGTGGGCCTAGGATGGATGGGGGTCGGCCTACCCCCCCATCACCCGCTTAGTAGCCTGCTAATGGCCCTTCCAAGAGGAAGTGAGACCTGCTGGCAGCTGTTTGTTTGCACACCTCCCTCCCTTCCTTCCCCCCTCCCCCAATATACATTGACTATATCCTGTATCCATCCTCAGCTGTCATTTTTCATCCTGGACGCCTCTGTCATCCTTTGCTTCGCTGTGCCCCACCCTCTCCTCTCTTCCTGGGCACACCTTAACTAGCAGGCGGGTGTCCCTGCTGATGGGCTCCCCCCACCCCCCCCCAACTGACCCAGGCCTGACTCTCAGAGCTGTGACAAGTTTATGAGCACCCAAGCCGCTTACTCGCCCGGCCTCCCGGAATGCCGAAGGGGCCCGCAGGGCTGAGAGGCAGGGGTTCAATCCCGGTTCGGCGCCGTCGTATAAAACAAAGAGCGTAAATGGAAACAGGCGCATGGAGTGGTGAACCTGAGCCCCTTCAGTGTAGACTGTGTTGGAGATGGTCTTTAAGGAGGGAGTCGCTCTGACTGAGGAGAGAGGGTGGTCTTTAAGGAGGGAGTCGCTTTCCGACTGAGGAGAGAGGGTGGTCTTTAAGGAGGGAGTCGCTCTGACTGAGGAGAGAGGGTGGTCAGTGGGGTGGCATGGGGAATGGTATCTAAGGCTGTTTTGTGGTCACCATGCCGATGTAGGTCTTTACGACTGGCAAAACGCAGACATGTCAGACTTCTGCAGTACGAGAACCACGCTGGGCCTGATTGAAATCTCATCTGTTTCCTTGACAGCCGTAAATTACAGCAAGGCCCAGTTTTCTGGGGGTTACCAAAGTTCAAGGATGCTTTTGGGGGTCGTCCCAGGGTTGGGGGTGCGCTGGATGATTATGACCTAAGGTGTGCTGTCCGCAGGTGCTCCATCCTGGCCTGCAGTGCGTACGTCGCCTTGGCTCTGGGGGACAACGTCATCTCCCTCAGTCACGCTGAGAAGTTGCTGCAGCAGCCCAAGCTCTCCGGTTCCCTCAAGTAGGTCTGGTCTGTCTACGTCTCGTTGTGGTAGCAGGTCTATGGCTTGCTGCAGGTCTATCCGTCTCTGTCTTGCTGTCTGTCTCTGTCCCTCCCTCCCTCCCTCCCTCCCTATCTGTTTTTTCCTCTGTCTAGCTGTCTCTCTCTCATCCCCTCGTTCTCCATCTGTCCTTGTCTCTCCCCCTCTCACTGTCCGCCCATGTGTCTCTCTCCCTCTCCCCCCATCTCTCTCTTTGTCCCCCTATGTCTTTCTGTTCGTGTTTCTCTGTCTCCCTCTCTGTCTGCCCAAAGGGGCGAAGCGTCCAGCCAAGGCCAGGACAGCGATCATCTTGTGTTTCGGGTAGAAGCGTCAGGTTTCGTTAGAAGCGAGATAAACAGGCTCTCCTGTCCTTCACACCCGCTTAAGGACACCCTGAGCCATCGCATTCCGCCATTCTCATCGAGCGCGGCGGCAGTCGATACACCTCTGTGTGTCTGGACATCGAGATGGGAGTCTTTTCATTTACACTCATTGACGGTGATGTTTTCCAAGTTCGCCTGCAGCTGCTTCCCCCCCCCTCCTCCACCAGCGCTGGTTCATCCCTTTATTCGGCTTTCTTTGCATGACTCTTTATGCTGGGTGACCACCTGTCACGTTCCCACACGTCACACGACGGTGCTCAGGCCTGGCATCATTAGGAAACCAAAGCCGATCGTAGTAGAACATCACGGTTTAATGATGGTGCTGTTTACTGTGTGCGCGTGTGTGTTCAGGTTTTTGGGCCACCTGTACGCAGCAGAGGCCCTGATCTCCATGGACCGCATCTCGGACGCCATCACCCACCTGAACCCTGAAAACGTCAGCGATGTGTTTTTGGGGGTCTCGTCCAGCGAGCAGGACCAAGGTGATCCCTTTCTCTGTGCTTAAACAAGGCATAGTCCTGCTGTGACTATGGAGTGTGTGCGGCGGGGGGATTCGTCCCGGCTCTGTGTTGCTCTGTGAGGTAACTGTGTGTCACGTGACTCCACGCCTGTTTCGTTCACAGGCTCAGACCGGGGCGATGTGGAGCAGCTGGAGTCCTGTGAGTGCAATGCCATATGTATGTGGGGCAATGGGCCAGTGAGTCATTGTCATGTCTGTGTGTCTGTGTGTATTCATATAACGTATTAGTCTGTGATTGTGTGTATACATATAACGTATGAGTCTGTGATTGTGTGTATACATATAACGTATGAGTCTGTGTCTGTGTGTATACATATAACGTACGAGTCTGTGATTGTGTGTACACATATAACGTATTAGTCTGTGATTGTGTGTACACATATAACGTATTAGTCTGTGATTGTGTGTATCCTACCTTGTGTCTCTGGGCGGCGGGCGTCCCCGTCTTGCAGTCTCGATGCCTGCGTCTCTAACATGCCCCCCCCCCCCCCTTCCACCCACCAGCGGGGAAGCAGACCCCCCTCTGTTACCCCAGCACAGTGAACTCCGCCAGGGCCATGATGCTCTTCAACCTGGGTAGTGCCTACTGCCTGCGGAGTGAATATGACAAGGCCCGCAGATGCCTTCACCAGGTACGCCCCTGCCATGCTCCGCCCACTCTCCTCCATTTAACAAAGTGCCCCTTTAACTGGCCCTGTGTCCCACCCCTAGGCTGCTTCTATGGTCCAGACCAAAGAGATTCCTCCAGAAGCCATCCTGCTGGCAGTCTACCTGGAGCTGCAGAACGGTAAGTGGGCTGTGAGGGACGGAGGGGAAGAGCAGAAATATTCACATGTAGGCTGGTGGCTGGAGCCACAGGTCAAAGGTCACAGAGCCATGTGACACTGATCCAAACCTGCTTTAATGGAGCCTTTAGCCAGTGTGGCTTCTGCTCCCCGTTACAGTCATCAGCTGATAAGAATCCTCAGTGTGTGTGTCACCGTTTGGGCCGGAGGGTGCATGTGTGACTGCGAGCTGCTGAAAAACGACCTCTCGCCCCCCCCGGCAGGGAACACGGAGCTGGCTCTGCAGATCATCAGGAGGAACCAGCTGCTGCCTCCGGGCAAGGCCACCCCTGGGGGGGAGGCCCGCAAAAGGCCGGGTGGCCCCTTCCAGCCAGTGCAGCCCATCCAGATTCCCCCCTCCTTCACAGCAGTGCAGCGAAAATGATTTGGAGTTGTGGGGGGGGGGGCACAGTGCAGCAGCCAGAGACACGGTCTCTGTCACTGCAGTTCCAGTTTGAAGTATTTATGAATAATGTGGGGGGGTCGTACAGAAATGTTTTATTTTGTATTTGAGAGGATGAGGCTCTCTTGGGAAATACTGAGATGCTTTGACAAGTTGAATTAAAAAAAAAAAAAGTTTTGTTTAAATGGCTGCCTCTGATACCTTTTAAGAGTTGTCCTCTGAATGGGGGGGTATGCTGATGGGAGGAAGATCCTGGGGGGGGGGGGGTAGAGTAAGTGATCTCTGACTGGAACTGGACACCAGTGGATTAAACCACCTAGTGATGAAACTCACTATAGTCATTCACTGTGGCTTTGGAAACCCAGTTTGCCCTAGGAATGATTCCCAAACAACCACATTGAATAGATAATGACCACTGACTTGGGTGTCGTGCTTTCACTCCCACCACTGCACTCCTGTCCTTTGCCCCTCACCGGCCGTGGTTCAGTTTCTCAGCCCAGACTCCCGCGTCCCAGTGGGACAGAGAAGATAAACATCACTCACCTTACATTCTGCAGGGGGCTTTTTTTGTTGACATGTCAGCATTTTCTAGCTGGTTCTTGTGACGCACCTTTCCGGAAAGTTCTCTGTGACCAGAGGACACCCCAGGACCCGTCTCTAATCCCGACATCATAGACAGGCACAGGATGCAGAGATACAGGCACAATCCCAGAAACAGACGATCACACTGCTGGAAAAATCCTGTATCACAAAACCACCTTCAGCCCATTGACAACCTTACTGTCAGGCACCTCCTTAAATCACAATTTTTCCAGACAGCAGGAGTGAGTGGTAAATGTGTGACTCAGTGGGTTAAGCCTACATGCTTGTGATCAGAAGGTTGCTGGTTCAAATTCCGTGATGGCAGAGATTTAATTGTTGGGTCCTTAAGTAAGGCACTTAACCCCTTAGCAGTCCAGGGATAGTGCCCGACTGGAGCTCACGAAATGTTGCTTTGGACAAAAATGTCTACTAAACAAACATTAAAATTTTAAGTAAACATGGGAGAGACTAGAATGAAGCCAACTATAGCAACAGCAATTACCAATAAAACTGCTAATTGTACCATAAATGGACAGGTGCATACAAGCAGGGTATGATCTCAGGATGATCACTATTGGGGGCTGTCCTATAGTGTGTGAGATACACAGTCCCCACCCTCACTGGGCTTGTGGGGTGCAGGAATTCTAGCAGAAGGAGGAAAAAAAAAAAAAAAGTCAGACAAGATCTACAATATCCAAGATACCCAAGTTTATTGTGTTTAAAAAAACAACAAAAACACAAAAGCCAAATCAAACTGCATAGGAAATGATTAAAGTCCATGTAAGACAACAAAAAAGGCTGCAAGTGACTAGCAGAGTCTCCTTCGCCTTATTTGGACAGAAGAGGTGACATTTGTGGTACTTCCCGTCTGTCCTGAGAGGCCGGGGGGAGTGGGGGGGTTGGGGGTGGTCATTGCAGTTTGCAGCTCAAAGCCCCACCTGCCATGCCCTCCCCCGCTCCCCCCACACACACAGACACACACACACACAAAATGCACGTATGACACAGCGGAGGCCCAGCCCACCCACCATAAAACAGCAGCAGTAGGGCAGTACATTCAGGGGACCCCCGGGACCTTCCAAGATACACACACCTGAGCAGAAGCCTCCAGGACACAAGGGGGAGCTCTGGGCCCGGTTGTGGGCCCCTACCCACTTTTTGATCACTTAAGATCTACAAGGAGGGCAGCCGATTCAGCCCAAGAGCGTAAAACTGTTGGACGAGCAGGACATACGCCTAGCAAATTTGTCTGTGGTGGACTTTGGCTGTAGAACATCAACATCTCCAAACAGGTTGTCTGGTCTTTAAGCCAGAACCCTCCCCCTTCTACCATGAGCAGCAATTTGGTGTGAATGAGAATCGGCAGGATACAGTAACCCATCCTAAAGAGAAGTACATTCCTATCAGGTCGCCATGAGCACGTCTCCCACGTTTTGTTTTTCTTGTTTCAGTTTTGGTATTTTCATCACATTAAAATCCTGCAGGATTAAATCAAGGAGGTAACTACACTTAGGCTGAGAGGTAATGCTGTATATGGACACGAACACAAAAGACAATTTGAGGTAATAATCACTAAATTACTACATTACATAATGTCTCAATTACTTAAGCTCCCAAAATCCAAGACTCTGGGAAGCTACCTGAGTTTATTGTCCCCTCCCTCTTTTTTTTATATTTTTTTTATTTTTAAGATTATATTATAAGCATTAAAAGCGGTCCAAGACCATGCACTTAACTAACATTCTTCCATTTTGGTAACTCCATACGGGTATCAGGAAAAACGAGATCACAAAACAGGTTAGCAGAGCCATATGCCCAAAGGGACAAACGAATCCACACCCCCCACCCCCTCCCCGGCGTGCGATCCTGCCGTTTGGCTTCGCTGCTGGGATACGACGTCGCCAACTACATCTTGGAGAAAAAAATCTACTGGGAAAAGCAGCACGTTTCTAACTTTGTTCAGGCAACCGTTCCAACACCAGCTCCGCCTTCCAGATCGGCTGCAGTCATCCACAACAGCGTCAACACCACGTACACACTGAACACTCACAAAAGCAAACGACATGTTCAGACCCTCTTAAGGTACCAGAGGTGGCATGTTAAAGGTCACATGGAGAGGTATGTTAATTATGGGTAGGGTTAGAGTTAAGATAGGACTGGAATATTTGGTCTCAGATCCAGTGAGTCTCCTGCTTTGGCCAATAATGAGGTATTAATAGACAGCAGGACCTCAAAGAACAATTAAAAGTTGATTTCGTTCATTTAGCTATGGATGCAGGAAATCTTTGGCAGTTACAGGAGATGTACCGTACAGAGAATCAAGCATACAGTGGTTTCTACGGTATCACCATCTCAACACGATTCAGTTCCTGCAGGGTCATGCCTGGGCTTTGTAAAGCTATTTTTTGAAGGGGACGGGCAATGTAATCTAAAGCTCACAACAAAACCAACCCCCAAAACATTGAAAACACACACTTTTTGGTATGGTCACAATTAAAAAAAAAAAAAAAAAAAAGAAACAAAAAAAAAACATTTTGCTTTGATACAAAACACTTCTCTACTATGACTTCTTTTAAAGCATGCGAAACAAGTTAAAATATTTTTCCTCTTACAGAGTGAAGACCTAAGGATCTTTGTGAGAGCACTCGTTTCAAAGGGATGAATGTTTTACATAATACTGAAACACAAACATCATCAGCGTAGCTCTTGTGTTCGCAGCAGCAGACTCAAGCTAGTTCACGCACCCCCACCCCACCCCGGCAATGTGCTAACAACTCGGTAAATAGTTTATTCTCAATATATACTTATAAAACATAGCTCTTTTCCCACGTTTCATTTGCTTTCTTAAAATAAGTTAAATTTCTTCAAGGACGTCTGAACTAACCACGTCTAAGCTACTACAATCATTCCACTGAGGTAAATTCGATTTTGTGCTGAAGCAGAGGTCATACGGAGGTCAATGGGGGGGGGGGGTTCAGGTTCGGTGTGGTGCCGTCGAGGAACGAAGCCATGTTCCAATGAGCATGACCAGCTTGTGAGGAGCAGGGGATGGAGACCAGGCTGGACTCTCAGCAAATGTCAGACCAAAAAAAAACATTCCTCAAGCTCTACTTCTTGCTCGACGTTGGACAATTTGGAACCGGTCTATCTACATGTGACGCCCTAAAATGACCACCTCCCCTCCCCACAGCTCCAGCTTAACAGGTTTCCAGGTTAAAGGAACCTGCGGTGATGACACTGACCTCCTGAACCTGGCACCCTGGGATTTCGATCTGTCACCCGTGCCAGCCATTTGGCAACAAACCATTTCACGGGATACTTTTTTGGCACATTCCTTTAGACGTGTCCTATCCGGCGTCCCGATAAAACAAAAGGCACCATTCACTAGACAGCGTAACGAAAGGTAACTGAATGTTTCTGAAGGGTCTTTTGTGCCACCATACACCCCAGAAACGTGGCAAACGTCACACTGATTTCGGATATACGGAGCAGTGAAAAGGGACTGACTGAACCAAGAGAAAGATGAACGGGACCCACTTCAGAGGAACTAATCCACATGTGCTCTTACTTCATTGCTGGATTTTTAGCAGAATAACGGAGTACAGAGCAGTAAATTCGTTTGCTGCTTTACACGGATTAACCGGACTAATCCAGCACAAATGCCTACAAGATCAACGAGATCAGGGCTTTGCAAGAGAATTGATCACCGAATACAGAAACCCTAGACAATTTTGAGGAACCAAAATTTTTTGACCATGTCTGTTGAATGGGATCCTCAGAAACATTTCTTGTGAATAGGGATTTAGTATACTGCGCAATTAACATTTACAAATACAACTAAGAGGGTAACAGATTACAAATCTTAGGGCCGACCCCTTTTAGGAGATTTTAGCATGGATGCTGAAAGAGGAAGAGAGCACTTTCTGCAAGTTAGCATTAGACAGGTCAATTACATGCACTCTGAAGAGCATCTGATACCATCAATTTTAGATTCATTGAGCAGTCTGTGGCGTCACTTTCTGAATAAAGCAGTTTCACTGCACATGTCCTTGCAGTACACCTGTTCGGGAAGTGCAGAGCAGCTGAGAAAACCAACATCACTTACAGAGCTGCACAGTTTGGGTGATGAGGCTCATGTCTTGGGACACAGGTAGACTTCACCTGGTCAAGAAATACCTGTAACCATACACTTGAAGAAAGCGCTCTGGGGGGAAGAGGAGGAGGAGCTGACAAGGCCTGAAATTCTACAATGATGTTTCGCTTGGAGAAACTATATATTCTACGTACAATCATGTCAATGAGAGTCGCGAGACTGTCTCAGCCATCACTTCTCGAATTTACGCATAGCATGATGTTAGTGCTTTTTCTGGGAGGGTGGGGAGGCCAGGTTAGTTACTCACTATATTATATATAAAAACTGTCAAAAAAGACTTTTAAAAAAATACCCAACACTAAAGACTAATTGGGCCACCACACAGAAGTTTATCTGCGGTTCTTTTGTCTAGCTGAAGCGGGAGGCATGATTCTCCAGTTGGCCTGCGTGCATCAGCACCAAAAACTTCCCAGATTCAAAAAAAAAAAAAGGAACCCAATAAATAGAAACCGACAGCAGTAGTCGTGCAAAGGATTGGATTTCATCCGAAGCTCCAGAGCCAATAGGAGCGTGTTTTACTGAGCGCCCAATCACAAAGCGCCGCTCTTCAGCGGTCACATGCATCGGACCTCGGGGCCGAGTGCCAGTCTGCCGCGTCCTCTGGCCACTCTTAAGTGAAGGAAATGAAAATGGCCCGAATTAAGTAAAATTAATTTTACTCAAACTAAATTGTCTGTCTACTTTTTGGTACCAAGTTAGGATAGAATACATGCTGTCCTGCATGTTCAATCTACCAAGACTAAGAATACAATAAAATCTCCACGCAGGAGTTCTCAATTTATAGCTCTTAAATTGACTGAAAGCCTCTTTAACACTAATTATTTATATGATCTTTAGATTCTACATCAATTATTGAGCATTATATCACCTCTAACACTACCAAAAACCTCATCCAAACTTTTTTTTTTTTTTTAAACTTCTGTTCAATACAGTTGGTCCCGTTATAAAGTGACAGGATTTCATGTAAATCACAGATTTTCCTGGCACCACATTAAGGTTGCCATTTTGATTTCCACTTTATCACACAAGGGGAAAAAGACTTCCTGTTTTAGTTTCCAGGTAAGAGATGGAGGTAAACTCAAAACTACATTGAAGAAAGAAAAAAACTCAAATTCCACCAGTATACTGAACCGCAGACAGGAATCACTGCTGCAACACTTTTCATCTGAGACGTAGCCACGTGGACCTCATCTTCAAAACATTCAGGATTCGAATTGTCTAAATGTGCACAGTAAAACTATTTAACCAAAATCTGTGCAAAAACGTATTTTGCTTGCAAAACAGAAAAAATAAACACTGAGGTAGACTCTTCTTTGTAAAACTTCGCTGACTAAATCTCTGCACAACAAATGCAAGTACATTCATATATAGACTACATGAGGTAGGTATGATGCAGAGAGCACAATATTTCAAGAAGGTGAGAAATTCCCTGAGAATCAGTTAAAGGAAACTGTAGGAGGCACATCAGAGTCCACACTGCCCCCTAAAGGAACAGGAGACGTCAGAAGTTCTACCGATCCTCGGGAGACGTCAGTCATCGAGTCGGCGGCAGACTCCTGATGTGCTCATCAAATCCCCCTCTTCCGTTTCTTCTTCTGTCAACCCTCCCCAAGAGCTCTGGGGTCAGAACTTGAGGATTCGGTTGTTTCCAAAATCGACGACGACAATCACGCCATCTGGCATGACGGCGACACCCGACGGGCGATCCATCTGCCCAAAGCCATTACCCTGAGTCCCAAACTTGCATAAGAAGTTACCGTTGGGCTCAAACACTTGGACACGGTGGTTGCGGGAGTCTGCGACTATGATACGGTTCTCTTGGTCGACGGCAACCCCCTGCGGACGTAGGAACTGCCCATTACCGGTGCCCTCTGAACCCAGAAAACGAGCCGACTGACAGTCCGGCCGAATGACCAGCAGCCTGTGGTTGTTGAAGTCTGTCACCACCAGGTGGCCCTCGTGATTGAAAGCCACGCCCCTCGGTGAGTCAAAATGCTTCCAGAGGGCGCCTTCAAAACCATACTTGTTCAGGAAAACCCCATCTGGCCCGAAGAGCTGGATGCGATGGTTACGGGTGTCTGAGACTAGGATCTTGCCCTCGAGGTTGACAGCCACGTCCCAGGGGTAGTTGAATTGCCCATTCTTGGTGCCTTTCTCCCCAAACTTCAGGAGGAACTGTCCCTCGAAGGTGAAAATCTGAATGCGGTGATTGTCCTTGTCGGCCACGATGATCCGCCTCTGGCCATCACAGGCCACGCCAGCTGGTCGGTCAAACTGGCCTGGCCGCGAGCCCAGCGAGCCGAACTTATGGTGAAATGTGCCACAGGGCTTGAATATCTGGATGCGATTGTTGCTGCGGTCAGCTACCACTACGTAGCCCTCCTTGTCCACACAGACGCCCCACGGCCGGCACAGTTGTCCATCACCCTCCCCCTCACCCCCGAAGGAGGCTATCGGAATGCCCACCGACTGGTAGTTGCGGCCCGATTTGACCAGCACCTTGAAGGGGCTGCCCTCAATGTGCTGGTTGCTGATAAACACGGACACTATATGCTCCCCTTCCATCTTAGGCAAGTAGCTGACTGTGTAGGTGCCGTTCTGGTGGTCCAGCACATCGGCTGTGGATACGGTCCCGTCCGACCCCACGACTACAGCTGAGATGGCGTCGCCTCCTGAGAGGCGGGGCTCTCCGTCATGGTCGTACCCCACTACTGTGAATGAGGCAACTTTGCCCTTGAGCGCTCCCCGCAGGCCCTCCCCCGAGGCCTTGGTGACGGGCGCAAAGGCGCCACTGCTGACGAGGCCCATGGACTTGATGGCAATGAAGAGTGCCTGATCCGGCGGAGTGAACATGAAGCGGTCATCCTCCTGAGGCTGCAACAGGCCCCTGAGTGCCTTCAACTCCTGGATCTGCACCAGCATGCGTTCGCGGGCCAGGAGGATGTCCATGTTGCGGCCCTCGTCCAGCACCTGCTGTACTGCTGCAATGGTGCCATCCAGCTTGCTGAGGTTCTGGTGAAGCTTCTCCACCTGCAGGTAAAGGGACTTGGCCTTCACCTGCCGGATCTTCTCCACCTACCAAGAAGTCAAAGTAGCAGGTGTCACACACAGAAATATCCTGGAGGAGTGACCTCTGGGTGCAAGCCGAACTGGACCACTCACCTTCCACAGCAGCTCACACTCTCGTTCCTCCAGGGCCTTCCGGTACCGCAGGGCGACTGCTTTCACCTCTGTCTGGACCACCTTGGCTTTGATCTCCACCTGCTCGGCGATGGCCTGGACCTTCTCCATGCTAAGCTGAAGCATACGTACATAAGAGAGACTATTTAGGCCAGTGTTTCCCAATCCAGTCCTCGGGGACCCACAGACAGACCACATTTTTTGCCAGTTCTAAAAATGTGGACTGTCTAGCAGGGAGCTGGGTGGGAGCAAAAACGTGGACCGTTCATGGGTCCCCAAGGACCGGATTGGGAAACACCGATTTAATTGGCTGAACTGAACAAAACAGGGTTCCAAGAAATCAGTCTTTGATTTGTAGTCCAAGCCTAGACGGCTATAAAGACCCAGAAGACACACTGACCAAGTCAAAATAAACAGAGAAAAAGGGATACACTACTGCAGATATGAAAGCATATGGATACTGTAGCTATCTGCATCTCCAAACATTTACTCTGGTCAAAGCTGTATTCAAATAACAGAACCTTTAAGCAAACTTTGGATCGCAATAGGAATGAATGCACGGAGCTCTTTATCAGGACCACAAAAGATCTATCACTAATTCACAACAACCACATTCCTGTTGCCATTGAAAGGCTGTTGTTGACAAAGCCCTTCCTTCCGCCAGTGGCTGGGGGGGGG